CAGTTCGCAAACCTCGTGAGTCAGATCCACAAAAGCAGCAAAATGGTGGAAGAAATCGTGATGGACATTGAGAGCACGCTGCTCATCAAGATCGAGGATTTCGGGGAAGGCGTCGTGACGGAGGTAGGCGAATTCTACGAGCTAGTTGAACGCAACCGTATGCAGCGTATTGAGGAGCTCGTGCAAAGCTACCGTTCTATCGGTCCTCTACTGATTAAGGTGGAAGAAATCGTAGCCGGTGTGAATACCGGTGCAAGTCCGAAGATGTCAACATACTACATGTACTGGGAGCGACGGATTTTTAACGCTATCACCAAGATGATTATTGCCTCTATGACGACATTCCAGGCGCTGCTTAATGTCCACACAAAAGACATTAGCAGTGCTATCTCCATCATGGGCCAAGGAGAAGGAGGTAAGCTCAAACGTCCACCTCTTTGCAAAGTGAAGGCCACCATGAACGGCAAGGATATCATCGTGACGCCCTCTCTTTCCGACATGTACAAGTATCTGAGTAAATCAGTGAAACATATCGTCGAGAGCGCCAAGGCTTTTATCCGTTGGATGCACGGAACATGTCGCGAAACCGCACCACTCGTAGTTAATGAGGACGAAGAGCCAATCACCTTTACTTTCTACTCGGATATCTCGCAGAACCCATACGTTATCAAGATGACGCTGTCACTGAACCAAGAGATCCACAAGGTCTTCAACATCGTGAACCGGTATCTGGATAGTTGGCGGCGATACGATACTGTTTACAACCTCTGGAACACTAAACGTCGTAGTGCACTTGAAAAATTGGCCGACAAGAAGCCTCCGTGTGTGTATTTCGACACAAGAATGGCTCAGTATACTCGACTAGCAGAGTCTGTACGCAACCAGCCCACCGAGAAAGACACAGATTTCTTGCAGATTAATTGTCTACCCCTCGCGATTTCTATCGCGAAACAGGCGGAGATGTGGAAGGACGACTACGGTAAAATACTGCTCGAAGTGTCGAATAAAAAGCTCGTAGCGATCAGCAACACTATGGACCAACTTGAAACCGAGTTGGAGTCAATACCGGAAGATCTCGAGTCGCTTAAGAAGGTGCTGAACACTGTCGCGAGTATCAGCGACATGGGGATGGAAATGGAACTAGAATACGCCGACATCATCGAGCGATACCGCACGCTCCAGACATTTAACATTGCTGGAGATCCAGCGGAGTTTAAGAAGGCGTTCTCTTTAGAACAGCGCTGGAAGGACCTGTATATCGCCTCGAAAACGAAAGATTTGCGGCTGGTGAAGGTGAAAGATCAATTTCGAGGTGTGACAAAGCAGGACGCAGTGAACTTTGCAGAGGAATGCAAGGATATGAAGAAGGAGTTTCTAGAACGCGGACCCGGCACGTGTTCGCTTGACCTCGACGCTGGACTCGAGTTAGTGTCTGTATTTAAGAAGAAACTCGCTGTGTTTAAGTCGAGACGCCAGGAGCTTGCGAACGCTGAGAATCTGTTTTCGTTGCCTATCACATCGTATCCAGAGCTACAGCAAATTACGGAAGCGTTGGAGAAGCAGGAGGTGATCTACGATCTGTACACTGAGCAGAAGGAGTTCATCAGCAACTTCTCCAGCATGTTATGGGCGGAACTGGATGTGACAGCCATGAATAAAGGTATTGAGGAGCTCGAGAAACGCTGTCGTAAGATCCCCAAGGATTTGAAGGCGATGTCTACATTCGTGGAAGTGGAGAAGCAGATCTTATCCTTTAAAGAGAGTATCCCTCTGATCCAGAGTCTTAAAAACGAAGCTGTGAAGCCTCGACACTGGGAGGAACTTATGGCAGTCACACAGGTGCGTTTCGATATGAACTTGAAGACTTTTACCCTTGGAAACCTCTTTGCCATGAAGTTGCATCGCTTCTCGAATGAAATCGGTGAGATCGTGAATGCAGCGACGCAAGAGCAAAAGATCGAGCAGGAGATTATCAAGATCGAAGACTCGTGGTCTAAAGCAGTATTAGAGCTCGTCAAGTACAAAAAGAACGGCACTGATCGCGGCTGGGTGCTCCGAGCCGCTGACGAGCTCAAAATCACGCTAGAAGACCACATGCTCAACCTCCAGACAATGTCTGGTTCACGCTTCATCGCGAGCTTTGCCGAGCGTGTTCGCAAGTGGGAAAAGCGTCTCGGAGTCGTGAATGAGTGTTTGGATATCTGGTTCGTTGTACAGCGCAAGTGGATGTATCTCGAGAGCATCTTCGTTGGCGCAGAGGATATTCGACAGCAGTTACCAGAAGAAGCGAAGAAATTCGATGCTATTGATAAAGCGTGGAAGACCATCATGGGCGCTACATACAAGAACGCCAACGCAGTGGAAGCCTGCACTGCTGAGAACCGGGTGGAGACACTACATTCTCTTTCTGAACGACTAGACAAGTGTCAAAAGTCTCTGAGTGATTACCTCGACACGAAGCGCAATTCTTTTCCACGGTTCTTCTTCATCTCAGATGACGAGTTACTCAGTGTTCTAGGCTCTTCAGACCCGACTTCGATTCAAGTTCACATGCTGAAACTCTTTGATAACGTTAAATTACTGGGCTTTGTACGCAACAACAAGAATGTCGGTGCGATGGAGAGTGCTGAAGGAGAAGGATTTCAATTCCGCACACTGT